CACTCAGCACGGGTCTGCGGGACCCCACTCAGCACGGGTCTGCGGGACCCACTCAGCATCCTCCAAGTTCCTTTAAGTCTGCATCTATCTTTCCTTCTCCATCTGACAGACTACTTGAAGTCTTCCCTCTCTGAAGTTAGCATTTATCTCTCATTTAGGAAATAAATATGCACAGCCTTGGGGCATGGCCCATACTGTTGTTTTGTATTGTGAACTTATGTCTTATGTCTTGGTGTCATTTATAAATCTGGAGGACCAGTTGTGTTTTCGATGCTCCAATCCTGTGCAAATCTTTGCAAAAAGTAGGAGTCTAATGTTTGTTCCCTTAGGTGCTGGTTAGAAAGCAGGCCCGTGGAGAGATGAGGAACAATAGTAATTTTGCCTTTCAGAGAAACTTTTATGAAAAGTACAACTGAAAAATCACTATCCCAGGCTGTTTAAAGAGGGTCGGATATATGGTAAACACTGACTCTGAATAAGGGCTATTTCTTTTTTAAAAATTGCTCATATGATTAAGATATTAATAAAGGAGAAATTTTAGTGGAAAGTAAATGAAAGGGAGAAAACTGTAAAAATCTTATATCCAAAACTGATGCTTTTGATCCCAGTCTAGCCCAAGTAGACTAGACTGCAGCCTCATTAGCCAGCTCTGGTTACAGGGTTCCAGTTCATGACCAACTGAACATCACAGCTCTGTGATGGTAGCTCACAACTCCCTGGGCATAAACAGTTAACTTCAAATCCGTCTTCCTTCACTGAGCACATCCTAGATGCCTGTCTGTAGTTATCTGTTGAGGTGCTGTGTCCAACTATTTCATTTTATTCATTCTGCATCTAATTGTTTACCCAACTATGAACGGCATCTGCTTGCAACCATAAATAACAAATTTGGAGCACAGATGATCTGTTCAGGGCCCAGTTCTTCAGGGTTCAGTAACCTAGCAACAGAGCGGTAGGAGACGTCTTCCGAAACCGGGCCTATCTCTACATAGCTGCCTGGCATGGGCTTGGAAACCCACTGCTCAGGTCAGGTTTGGCAATGACAAACTGATACTGACAGACAGATTGGAAAAACAGAAGGTTATAGGAGCCTTAATGCCAGCTCCAAAAACCTGAGCATCAGGAGTATGAAGAGAGAAAATACTCATGACTTAGGACCAGCTGCCAAATACACTTTTG